AAACTTTTCGTTTCTTGAGATTACTTTAAAGGGACCATCATAAACAGGCTGTGCAAAAGTTTTACGGTTTTTGTTCTTTATAAAAACATGCGTAGAAGTTTTAAGATCTTTGGAGACAAAAATATGTTTACGTATGTTTTGCCTTGACGGTATAAATTTTAAATTACTCATAAACGATTTTAATTGATCTGCAAATAATGTGGAAGAACTCTCTGTAGAATTTTCAAAAAATTCACCAGGTAATTTAAGGGTAGATCCGTATAGAAGTTCTGCGGGTGTACATCCCAAATCTTCCTTCAGGGAATTACGTATACCTAATAAAACGAAGGGAAGCGCATCAAGCCATTGTCGTTTCGATTGACATTCTAGAGAGATTTTAATTTGTTTATTGAATCTCTCTACAATACCATTAGACATTGGATGATAGGCGTGGTACGAATTTTGCAAGAACCTATGAGATTTAACAGTTCTCTCCATAAGTTTGATTCGAATTGTTGTCCTCTATCGGTGGTTATCGTACTGGGAATTCCAAATCTAGATATCCAACCGGAAATAAAAATGTTCTTGCTACAGTTGCAGCTGAAATGTCGACCATTGGGAAAGCCTCTGGCCAGCGGGTAAATCTGTCGATACAAGTAAGTATGTATGAATATCCTTTACATTGAGGTAAGGGACCGATAATATCAATATGAATATTTTCAAAACGGTTGTTTGGACAACTAAATTCACCAAACTGTGATTTTGTATGCCTTGTAACCTTATGTTTTTGACAGTTGAGACAACATTTTACCCAGCTTTTAATATCATTATTAATATTCGGCCAAATATAACGGGATTTAATAAGGTGTTGTGTTGTTTTAATCCCCGGATGTGATAGGTTATGTAAAGTTTCAAAAATTACTTTTCTATATTCTTTTGTTACGTATGGTCTTGGCTTTCCTTGACTAACGTCACAAATAATAGATTTTGAGGAAAAGGGTAAGGTGAATTCTTTAAACAAAAGTGAAGTAGTATTTGCAGATATTAGATTCATAAGCTCTGTATCACATTGTTGACTATAAGCTAATTTACCAAAGTCTATTTTCTCGTGAACTGCATAATCTATTGAGTTAATTTCAATTCTACTTAAAAAATCAGCTGCTTTATTATCTACGCCTTTGACGTATCTAATATCTGTTGTAAATGAAGCGATGTAATCTAAATGTCGAATTTCTCTTGGGTTATACTTTAGTGATGCTGAGGTAATCGCAGAAACTAAAGGTTTGTGGTCTGTTAAAATATGAAATGTTCTACCTTCGATAAAGTAACGGAAATGTTTAAGAGTTAAATACACTGCTAATAGTTCCCGTCCAAATGTACTATTAGCCCAATCGGATTAGTATTTTAGATTCTGAAAAATTCGAAGCAGCAATTTTCCTTCGGAATTCGTTGGAGGGGGTCTCTGGTAGTCTAAATTCAAAAAGTTGGGATTCTAAAGTTGTCGTTACCTCCGCCATCTTGATTTAAAGGGTTATTTTTTGTATCTTGAATAACTCATTTATTTTCAATTTTACACGGAAAATAGTTTTTACAAGTTATTTAAAATTAAATTTCCTACAATTCTGCTTTTTTTTGTACGATCGATTTTTTTCGATTTATACCCGAAAAGAGGGGGTGAATTTTTGGTTATAGAATAACTCGTTTATTTTCAATTTTACAAGAAAATTTGTTATAAACAAAGTTGTTTAAAATTAAATTTCCTACAATTTTGCTTTTTTTTGTACGATCGATTTTTTTCGATTTATACCCGAAAAGAGGGGGTGAATTTTTGGTTATAGAATAACTCGTTTATTTTCAATTTTACGAGAAAAATTGTTATAAACAAAGTTGTTTAAAATTAAATTTCCTACAATTCTGCTTTTTTTTTGTACGATCGATTTTTTTCGATTTATACCCGAAAAGATGGGGTGAATTTTTGGTTATAGAATAACTCGTTTATTTTCAATTTTATGAGAAAAATTGTTATAAACAAAGTTGTTTAAAATTAAATTTCCTACAATTCTGCTTTTTTTTGTACGATCGATTTTTTTCGATTTATACCCGAAAAGAGGGGGTGAATTTTTGGTTATAGAATAACTCGTTTATTTTCAATTTTACGAGAAAAATTGTAATAAACAAAGTTGTTTAAAATTAAATTTCCTACAATTCTGTTTTTTTTGTACGCTCGATTTTTTTGTATTTATCCCTGAGAAGAGTGGGGGTAAACTCTTAGAAAAATCGGAATCATAATTGTACCAAATAACATTTTTGAAAATCAGCAAAAAAAAACAAACAGAAAAAATAATGGTACAACATCAATAATAAACGTGACAATACAATACTTAGGTTCACCCCCACTCTTCTCAGGGATAAATACAAAAAAATCGATCGTACAAAAAAAAACAGAATTGTAGGAAATTTAATTTTAAACAACTTTGTTTATAACAATTTTTCTCGTAAAATTGAAAATAAACGAGTTATTCTATAACCAAAAATCCACCCACTCTTTTCGGGTATAAATCGAAAAAAATCGATCGTACAAAAAAAAAGCAGAATTGTAGGAAATTTAATTTTAAACAACTTTGTTTATAACAATTTTTCTCGTAAAATTGAAAATAAACGAGTTATTCTATAATCAAAAATTCACCCCCTCTTTTCGGGTATAAATCGAAAAAAATCGATCGTACAAAAAAAAAGCAGAATTGTAGGAAATTTAATTTTAAATAACTTTTGTAAAAACTATTTTCCGTGTAAAATTGAAAATAAATGAGTTATTCAAGATACAAAAAATAACCCTTTAAATCAAGCTGGCGGAGGTAACGATAACTTTGGAATCCCAACTTTTTGAATTTAGACTACCACAGACCCCCTCCAACGAATTCCGAAGGAAAATTGCTGCTTCGAATTTTTCAGAATCTCAAGCCTGTTCTTCACCTAATCCGATTGGGCTATATATCGAGATTCGACAGGAGTAAACTTTTTTGAAAAAAAATGATAGTGGACACCAATTTGCATCAACTTTTTGCTGTAAAACGGCACCGACTGAAGAACCCGATGCGTCAACCATGATACTTGTTTCGGCATCTTGTATTGGAAAAATTAATAAACACTGCTTTGATAGAGTTAGTTTAATTTCGTCAAATGCGTGTATGGTGGTTTCTTTCCACTCTATTATTTTATTTTCATCCGCTTTTGATTTCGATTCAGAAAGCAAAATATTTAAAGGACGTAAAATGTCTGCGCATTTTGGTATAAAGCGATGATAAAAATTAATCATACCTAGAAATTTCCTAAGTTCTTTAATAGTTTTCGGTCTTACAAAGTTATTTATGATATCTACTCTCGTTTGGGAAGGTTCGATTCCTTTTGCACTTATCCTGTGTCCTAGAAATGTTAATTCCGGTGAAGAAAATTCACATTTATCTATGTTAATCAAGATACCATACTTAACGAGCCTTTCAAAAAGTGTTTCTAAATGCTTGAAATGTTCTTTCACGTTTTTACTTGCTATCAGAATATCGTCAATGTAAACGAAACAAAAATCTAAGTCATTAGTAATCTCATGCATAAATCTCTGAAAGGTCTGAGCTGCGTTTCTTAACCCGAATGGCATTGTGACATATTCAAAAAGACCGAATGGAGTGCATATAGCAGTTTTTGGAATATCAGTAGGATTTACAGGAATTTGATGGTAGGCTCGAATAAGATCTATTTTCGAATATACTGAGGTGCCATGAAGTTGCGAAACAAAGTCATGTATATGAGGAATAGGATATCTGTCTGGTATAGTATTATTATTTAACGCTTTATAATCTCCACATGGTCGCCAACTTCCATTCGACTTTGAAACCATATGAAGAGGTGAAGACCAATTGCTAGAAGAAGGTTTTATAATGCCTAGCTTTATAGTTTCTCAAACTCCTGTTTCGCAATTTTAAGCTTTTCTGGTGGTAACCTACGGGGTTTAGAGTAAACTGGCGGACCATATTCCTGTTGCTGCTGGCTGTTTAATGGACTTCTCTGGCGTTGTCTATTCGTAGGCATCTTTATTGCTGGGGTCACCAAATTGTACCAATAAAATATATGTTAAAATGATTTTTACGATTTTATTAATACTTCACAACTAATGTCATTATTCCTTCCATTTACGTTTCCCCAGCTACCGAGTTGACTTAAGATTAGACTAACATGTAATAGCTGCTACACGGCATATGCGATTTTGCTGAAATTTGGTATATTGGTAGAGTTTTATGTGGCAAAAAAATGGTATTAAAATTTTGTCCGATAATAATACATAGGTGCAGAACTTGATTTTTTAAATAATTGCACCTTTAAAAATTCTACGCCAATGGAAGAAAAGGAGTTTGAGTATGAAATTTAGATTGCGCAACTCATTTACTTTAAAAAAGGTACTCTTGATAAGACTCGATTACTCTCATGGTTTTGACGAAATTTGCATTTTAGTAATTTTAGAACATAAACAATAATTATTAAAATACAAACTTTGTCAAAACCTTGAGAGTAAATCGAATGTAATCAAGGGTACTTTTTTGTAGTAAATTAGTACCCAATCCAAATTTCATACTCAAACCCCTTTTTTGCCATTGGCGTAGAATTTTTAAAGGTGCAATTATTTAAAAAATCAAGTTCTACGCCTATGTATTATTATCGGACAAAATTTTATACGATGAAAAACATAAAAATGTACTTTCTTCATATCTTCTTCAACACCTCTAATCGAGACTTTTAACAAAAATACTCGATTCTTGCCATGTACGATTTTTTGAGGAATATTAATTATTTGCCTGCAATACGTATACAAAAACATTTATTGTTGGTTTCCATAGTTTCATCTAAATAAAAATATTGTCAAGTTAAAATACAGTTAAATGGTGGCCTTTTAAGTCACCATGCTAAAATGTAATTGCATATGTATTTTCTACTATTCTACATCAGATATAGATTATAAAAAAAAATAATACCTGTAGCAGTAATTGGGAGCTGACCAAACAGTTAATACAGTCTCATTGAAGTGCCATTTATAACCCTCCATTACTAATTGATGTGCTCTACAAATCATGTCTATGTCATTGGCAGAATTAAACTGAGCTACCACATCTGATCCGAATAAATATCCTGCACCCCTTGGAGAAACACCCCAGCCTTGAGTGTCTAAAAAAAATAAATAAATAATTAAAATGTTCAATGTTATTGATTCAATTAAAATCAACTACAAAAAAAGGTTACCAACTAAGCATAAATAAGGTAAAAGCGAGGGGCAAACCACCTTGGAATTATGGTGTACACATTGATGGAATTCCAGTGGAAGTCCGTGGAATTCCAGAGGAAGTCCATGGAATTCCAGAGGAAGTCCATGGAATTCCGGTGGAAGTCCTTGAAATTCCAGTGGAAGACCGTGGAAATTTCATCACATAGCGCATGCGTCTCGTCTTTGTGTTATAACTCTTCCACATAACGACTGTAAACTGGCGGTAACGACACTTGGGCTGATCATAATGATCGATGCTGCAAGAAATTTAAATATTTAACTGTTTCGACGGCACTTACTACTTGCCGTAGTTGTCATATTTTGGTTTAGTGCCGCTCGCGCAGTTATATGATGTGTATAACATAACCTCAAAACATTAAATTTATTTGCGTTAGCAAGGAAGTTTTCAATTTGCTCTGAATATTGTTTTTAAATCAATATTGCGAATTTAATGATGTTTTTTTTTTTTAATTTCCTACTACGTTGGAACAATTAATATTGTTTTAGCATAGAGTTGGTAGTTTTTTTTATGCAGTCCGTTTCAAAACCAACTTTTCTTTCCCAGGCATGTCAAGGAAAAATAATATATGTCACTACAGTTCATCAAATTTCTAGAGGCTTTCGACGGCTAGACAGAGAAAGCACTACTGAGAGGCGTCGGTTGGCGGGGCCGACGGATTTACGCAATGAAAGTACACTCTGCGCATCAAGTATTTCACTATTTTATTCAGACGTAAATGTCAGATGTAAATTTCGCTAAAACATTTCTTTTATTTTCGTTTGTGTTTTTTGCTCATTACAGTTTAATAGAACCTAAGTATGGAGTTTAATAGCAAATTAAGAGGCCGCGTGATTAACAGTCAATCTCGCGAAATAATAGCCAATGTTATAGAGTTTATGAGAAGAGAAGGAAACTTTAATTCACCTTCAATACCATTTAAAAATGTAAATGATCGTGTTGCTGCAGCCACAGGAGTATCTAAAAACACTGTCGTCCGCATTTCTGGAGAGAGAAAAAGAATCGATAACCGTGAGATATCGGAATTTTCATCACCAAGAAAAACCATTAAAAAACCAAAAACAGTTAATGATATAGATGAAGCTGACAAAGGTATTTTAAAAAGAATTATTCTGTTCATGTTAATCTCGGAAAATATTGTTCCAACATTAAAAACAATTCTGACTAACTACAGGGTACAAAGGAAGCTATGAAAGTTTAAGAAAAATAATAAAGTCGCTAGGATTTCGTTGGCGGAAAACAAAAACAAACAGAAAAATATTAATGGAAAGGTTTGATATTCAAAAGCTACGTTTAGACTATCTGATTCGTTTAAAAAGTTATCGAGCAGAGGGCCGTCCAATTGTCTACTTAGATGAAACATACATTCATGCCTCCCACACACACCAGAAAGCTTGGAGTGATAATTCAAATGAGGGATTAAAGAAACCAATTAATAAAGGTGATAGACTAATTATTGTCCATGCAGGAGGTGAAATGGGCTTTATTCCGAATGCCCGGTTAATTTTCAAATCTGGAACCAAAAGTGGAGACTACCACGATGAAATGAATTTTAATAATTTTTCTAAATGGTTGAAAGAAAAGCTGTTTCCGAACCTCCCTCCAAGAAGCGTCATTATTGTTGATAATGCTCCTTACCATAATGTCCAGGTAAATAAAGCACCAACGTCAACTTCTAAAAAAGCTGACATGCAGGATTGGTTAAGGAATCATAATATTGCTTACGAAGAGGATATGCTCAAAACTCAATTATACAGTTTAGTGCTATTGCATAAGTCACGATTTAAGAGGTATGCAATTGAAGAAATGATAAATGAACATGATTTTAGTTGTTTGCGTTTGCCACCGTATCATCCCGATCTTAATCCGATCGAATTAGTGTGGGCATCATTGAAACAATATGTAGCTAGTAACAACACTACTTTTAAGAGGCAAGACGTACAACTGTTGTGTGAAGACTTTTTTGATACGTTTTCTAAAGAGGAGTGGCAATCTCGTTGTAATAATGCTAAAATGTGGGAATCTAAATTTTATGACAGAGAAGTTACTTTGGATGAGGCAACTGATAGATGTATAATTACCTTAAACAGTAACAGTGAGACTGATTTTGAATCTGATATGGAAACTGAAGAAAGTTTTTTGGAAGACCATTAAAATTATATCTGTACCTAAGATCAAAAAAGTATTATCTATTTTTACAACGAAGATGCACAAGAATCAAATTTTATTTTTTTATTATTAGATAGCTATTTTTGTTTCTGAGTTGTGTTCATTTACAGGCTCAATTTTTTTCCGTTTCTCCTTTTTGATTTTATATGGGGTTTCAAGTTGTTTTTGACTTATTTCGACGTAAATCACAACAACACACTTTTTTAATAAAGCAAACAAGTGTTAAGAGGTGTAAACTACAATTACAAAAAATTTATATGAAACCACCAACAAAAATGTAAAGCTAGCTTCCGTACTAGAACATGGTGTCATTCGTCGAGATAATTTATCGTTTTGTTTAATAGATCAAGAAATGTAAATATTCCCCTGTTATTTTTTATAAAATTATAAGAGAAATAAATTTTTTTCTAAATAGTATAGTTTATTATTTTGTAGAAAAACAAAATTTCGAAAATTTTAGTAATGTTTCAGAAACAACCGTTATTAATAATAGGTACCATTTTCCTTAATAAGGTAGAAATAAAATATAAACTATTTACAAAGGCCTACAAAAAATTTATAGGTATTTTCCGCTATCCTATAAAATTTATATTTTCTGACTCAATTTCAAAAGGTTGAAGGAATTCCAAAACACCTTTTATGGCATAATAATTATTTTCAATTCTACATACTATCTTTAGCTGCTTTTAAAAACGTTCTAAGAAAGTCCAATCAGACCAATTTAATCCCTAAACTATTCCACACTTTTAAAATTTAATTACCTAAAAATATTAAAAACTATTTAAAATAACTTGTTTAGCAGACTGTACAATAGCTATCTTAGTCACACGTAGCGCGTTTTCTGTCTGGGCGTCGAACACCTCTAGAAATTTGATGAACTGTAATTTAAAATAAAATAGTATTTTTCTACAACTGTCAAAAATTGGCTGTTTGCATTAACGTCAGTGACTAAAATGAGACATTTTTTCATTGACACTATTTTTTTTGTTGTGTATTAGTGTACAATTTTTTTTTACATCAAAAATGGGTGTATATACATAATATATACAGGGATTTCATTTCAAAACTAGCCACCCAAAATAACTTTTAAAATATCTTTAAAACAAAAAAACACGTTAATTTATATTTACGGTGGGACACATTTTACAAGTATTTGTAACCGTGCAGTTTCATCCCCTTTTTTTCCAATCTTTTGACACATTATTTTTTTAAATCGGATTAATTTTTCACCAAGTTATGCCATTTTAACCTTTTAAATTAAAATAATTATTATTTACATTGTATTTACATTATTAATATTTTATTTGCGTAAGAATTACATTGTACTTATCTGGAAATGTCTCATTAAGCCAATTTCGTACAGGCAAAGCATAATGTAGAGGTGCTCCGTCCTGTTAATAATAATAATAATAATAATAATAATAATAATAATAATAATAATAATAATAATAATAATAATAATAATAATAATAATAATAATAATAATAATAATAATAATAATAATAATAATAATAATAATAATAATAATAATTAATAATAATAATAATAATAATAATAATAATAATAATAATAATAATAATAATCCCACTCGACCATTCACTGTTGGGTTCTAATTAACAGTGCTGTTCCTAAAGTGGCGCAAGGAAACAGTAACAAGGCCTGTCTGTAGGGGTGTAGGAGTATTAGAGTACTAATACTCCTGCACTATGGAGTATTAGACTACTAATACAATCCATAACCTACATAGAACACTAGGCTAATGACCTTAGATGTTGAAGCCGTACACCAAATAAAAAAAAAAAAAAAAAAAAAAATAATAATAATAATAATAATAATAATAATAATAATAATAATAATAATAATAATAATAATAATAATAATAATAATAATAATAATAATAATAATAATAATAATAATAATAATAATAATAATAATAATAATAATAATAATAATAATAATAATAATAATAATAATAATAATAATAATAATAATAATAATAATAATAATAATAATAATAATAATAATAATAATAATAATAATAATAATAATAATAATAATAATAATAATAATAATAATAATAATAATAATAATAATAATAATAATAATAATAATAATAAAATATGTGGTCTAATTTTGTTTAGTTCCCTGCACATGATATGTAAAGGCGATTTTATTGTAGCTTCGAATAAAAAAGATTTAAAGCCATTCAACTCAACGTATTGCAGTCTTCCCTTGAGGTATGAAGAAATAAAATTAACGAGTTGTCTGTCAAACCCTAGATTTAATAATTTTTTTGCCAATATTAAGTGGTCTAGGCGGTCAAAAGCCTTTGAGAAATCTGTGTAAACTGTATCCACTTGCTGATGATGGTCTAATGCAGAAGTAGTAAAATTAGTGAAGCAAGTTAGATTAGTGATGGTACTGCGCGAACTAAAGAAACCATGTTGGGAAGGATTAATTGAAAATTTTACTTGTGGAAAAATCTTATCATATACAGACATCTCAAAGACTTTCGAAAATCCTGACACTTGACAGATTGGCCTGTAATTATCAACAAGATTTCGATTTTCCTTTTTAAAGATAGGTGTGACCTTAGAGATTTTCCACCTAGTAGGGTAAGAGCAATGTTTTAGAGATAAGTTAAAGATGTATGATAGGGGTTTTTTTAATACCTCAGAACAGTCTCTAATGATGAAGCTAGGTACTTGATCTGGT